TTTGTTTCTCATCAGGTGCTATCTTGGTTGACTATTTCGCTCTAGTTTATTTCTGGTTTGGATCTGTGGTTCTCGGTACCATTATTATTGTGTTTTTTATAGGCTTTGTGCCCTGGTTTGAGAATGTGCATTTATTTTGCACGAGAAGACTCTATCTCCTCAGCAGGACTATGTTGGCATATCCCCAGAGAAACCAAGATTCATTTCCCAACAACATTATTGTATTTCCTTCTCATAGAAGCAAGTAACTGTCTCTTTATTTGAGCAACTTGCCCTTCCCCAATAACTCTGTTAGTTCCCCGAGAAGATTCATTTGTTACTCTGATGAATGGTAGTCTCGTCATTATGGGAGATAGTTCATTGTTGAAATTTGTTACTCTGATGAATGGTAGTCTCGTCATCATGGGAGATAGTAATTTGTTGAGATTTGTTACTCCAATGAATGCTAGTCTCATCATTATGGGAGATAGTTCGTTGTTGAGATTTGTTACTCTGATGAATGGTAGTATCGTCATTATGGGAGATAGTTCGTTGTTGATATTTATTACTCTGATGAATGATAGTCTCGTAATTATGGGAGATAGTCCGTTGTTGAGATTTGTTACTCCTATGAATGGTAGTTTCATCATTATGGGAGATAGTTCATTACTGAGATTTGTTACTCCGATGAATGGTAATCTCGTCATTATGGGAGATAGTTTGTTGTTGAGATTTGTTGCTCCGATGAATGGTGGTCTCGTCATTATAGGAGAGAGTTTGTTATTGATATTTATTACTCCGATGAATGGTAGTCTTGTCATTATGGGAGATAGTTCGTTGTTGAGATTTGTTAGTTCGATGAATGGTAGTCTCGTCATTATGAGAGATAGTTCGTCATTGAGATTTGCTTTGCTCTAAATAATTCATTTGTTTCTAGTCATAAGTAGTGATGCTAATCATTTGTTACCTACCCTGATATTGGTATTTACCGGTATTATCTTACCATTTCTTTTCCTTGTGAGTCGATGTTACTTTTTTTCTATCTTCTTTGTCAGTGGGTAGTTCGCAATTATCTGTCGATCTTTGTAATCCATTACTTTTTCCTTAATATTTGAATTAATGATGCTTTATCTCCTTCTTGGGATTTACCCCGATAAAGTCGAGTCTTTTGTTCACTAGTGATTTACTTTCCTGGTCAGATTTTCTTTTGATCTTTTATCTTATTTTCTGCTTCCCCAATGTGTCCTGTGTCACCTTTAAATTTGTTTGTTTGCATGCACAATCATAATCATTGCATGGAATCTTAGGGTAAAAAATAGGGCTTGTTTTATATTTAAGTATCTTTAATCGTGTCGACACGAAGATTTTAACCTTTGTATCTCCGGATAGAAGACACTTAAATAAGGGCAGTTTTAATACCCCAATTTTCCCCCTAAGATTCCTCTATCATCTCATATCAACTCAATCATATCAAGATTACACTTGGGATTGGTTCTTCTCCATATCTCTAGGTTTTCTCATGAGGGATCACCAACCACTTTGATTTGTATATTGTGATCATATATGTCTTGTATGGATTAACTTTTAACTAACAAATACAATGAATGTTTGCTCTAAATGATGATACTATAGGGGAGGGCACAACATATTTCATCAGGTTGATTCATAAGTTCATGAGCTTATTTCCATGCCTTCTTCAACATATCTTCATTGAGATTCAAGCTTCACCATTTATAATTCTTTAAAGTAATATCATGACAAGGTCTACTATGATTCATCATGCCTCAATACTTCAAAAAAAGTAAAAAGATGCAAGAATTTATTCAAGAGTTTTGACCTAATTGGACAAGTTTTTGATTCCTTCATCACAAGTGCATAACTCTCTCAATTTTTAATATTTGGAAGTGGTTATTGTTATTATGGGTTCTTGTTACCATCCACAATAATTTCTATTCACATGGAAAAATTGATTATGCAAGAAAGATTGTCAAAATTGAAAGGGTTTTCCAAGTCATTTTGGTGCTCTAGGAGCTAGGGTTTTGAACTTCTAAGGATTATATCTTATTCATCTTTTGAGATTTTTGAGTGATTCCAAAGATATGCTTCTCTTTAAAGGGTTATCAACCAATCTGTAGCTGTAAAATCAATGAAGTCGCCACTGAGTATTTATTTATCCCATATGAAAGGGAAAGGAAAAATCATCGAAGAAAACCTAAAGGGGAAATCAAGGTCTTGCAACCGAGAGATTGGGTAAGGGAGTCAATTACGCGAGGGGAAGGTATTAGCACTCCACACATCCATAGTACTCTACGGGATCCACTCTCGTTATTCTAATCAGAAGGTGTGTTCAATCTAATGCTTAAGGATTATAAGCTAAGAGAGAATGCATGCAAAGAAAAGATAAAGAATGTAGGGAAAATAAAGTTGTACTCGCTTGGGCCCTACCCCAATGCCTACGTATCCTTTTTAAGGAATCAGAGCTACCCCAATTCAGCTCATATATTTTGTTTGTTTGTATTTTTTAAATGAACAATGTTGCATTCAATCATTCCACCGCTGCTCGACCTTTGGAGACTTACGACCTGTAGTGGAAAGGAGCTAACATGCTCTTAGAAGAGAAAAGCCAAATGGCGAGAAGAAATGGATTGGTTGGTATTTTTTATTATGAAAAGTATTCTTGTATGATTAGCATTTTTTATACATTTGCCAAGAAAATGGAAGTTTTAGTTTTAAGTGCAATTATGCACAAAAATGGGAAGAGAACATCTAAGGGAGACTAATCTATCTCTAACTTAATGTTATCAAACAATGAGGGATTCTACCTAAGTTAGCATGCCAAAGAAAATCAAACAAACTATCCTATAGGGAACATGCACTGAGAGCGAAGTCGTGATCTCAATTTCTAAATTGAGTGACTCATCGATCAACAAGAAATAAAGGAAAGCGATAAAATCCTATAGGAAGCATGAACTGAGAGTGAAGTCGTGATCTCAATTTCTAAATTGAGTGACTCATCGATCAACAAGAAAGGGGCAAACACAAGCACAACACATAACGGAAATGAAGTGCAGAATGCCTGCTACAGGTCTTTAAATAGCGACTTCGAGCGCACGCTCTTTATTTCCTACTTCTCATGATATCTAGAAAGCAATAAAATGCGGAAAGATAAATTGGAAGTAGTATATACCAAATGAACAGTAATGTCAACAAAAAGCGCAACCAGAGCAAAGAACCCAAAATACTTCACTCAAGCTTCACCAAGCCAACAGAGAAAAGAGTCAGAAATAAAATGCTCAAAATAAACGTCAAAGCATCATCGATGTGAAAATAAATCACAATCGAAAACTTAAGCGTATCCGCATATCAAACAACGAACCTGCATAAGACTCAAATCTTGACATGCAAAAAGTGAATCACAAATCTCAAGTAATCGGATAATCATTAGTTAATTCCTAAAATCAAATAAAAAACTAACAAATTTTTATGGATTTTTACAAATCTTTTTCTTTTATCATGTGGAGAAAATTCAAAAAAATCTAAACAATCAACAAAATTATTCAAAATAAGTTGCAAATAGAATAAACCCAAAGGGCGTGTAAGCTGAAGCTCATAGTGTGGTCAGAAATATGTAAGCCCAATTCGGAAATAAGTCCAACAAGCAATTTTTTTGTGCAAAGTTTTCAGCATACCAAAAATATGGTACTAAGGCCCACACAAATATAGTTCGGTCCAGAAAGTTCTTTTTTGTTCATTTGGCTTCAAGCTTCCAAAAATGCAACGGACTAAAGCCAGAAAGTGTTCGGCCCAGTCCAATACCAAAAACACTAAACAAATTTATTCCCAAAAAACATTCTTCAGCACTTTTTTTTGAATTATATTGTCATAATAAAAATTTAAAGGAAAAATAAAGAAAATATGGAGTCCAAACGATGTCGTATGGTTGTAGTGATGTTAGGGTTATCTCTTATTACTCTTCAACTTCCCTAACAAAAATTATCATCTCTCTCTCCATATCAATCTGTCTCCTTAAACTAAAACTCACTGGAAATCACTTCGACGCGACAGAGGCTGCGGAACTCCACTGATCTTTAAAAATATTTCATCCTCCTCCTCGTCTCGTCTTCCTTTCTCCATATCCCAGCTTCATTTCATCATATCTTAACTATCACTTTCTGAATCTGAAAAAAACTCGACATGACCTAAAACCCTGAGAATCCGATGAAATCGCTTTGGTAGAGGTTCGGGCCATGAGTCCTTGGGGGAAAGATTCGGAAGAAATTCAACAATACAAAGGTAATTTCATGCTTCATGAATCTCTTTAATCTTCTTTTTGTTCTTCTATCTTCTTCAATGTTCCGTCTTCCGTCGTGAGTGTGGTTGATGTTGTTCGTGTGACGTTTTCTTTTTGACGATGATATGCATTGATGATGATTGTTGATGATGCAGGTGGAAGATGTTATTGCGAGGATGTAGAAATGACGCAAAACAAAATTAAATAAAATTATGGGATGAAATCATTGTTGTGTGATGTTGCAGAAAAACTCAGAGAGTTGACGCTGTTGGTGGAGGTTGACGAAGGTTAAAGATGATGGAGGTTTTTTTGATTCACATACGAAGAGGATTGAAGAATATGAGGATGATACAGTTGTAGGGAAATTGCAGAGAGCGTTTTTTGGTGAGTTCTCTCGTGTGTTTCTCTCTGTTTTTCTTCTGAATCAATTTCTTGAAGATTTTTCTGAGTTTTTGTGATTGGTAAAAAAATGCACCCCCTGGATCTGAGATGCGTTCTGTTATATGGATCTCAAAGTTTGTTATATTTCAGTTAATCTGAGCTGTTGAATTCCTGAAGTTTGTTAGAGGAATGGATGGTTCGGATCAATTTCTGTTTCTGAGTTAATATGAAATAAAAATTCTATCAGGAGTGAACTCCCAAATTATGTTTTATGTTCAGACTTTCAATCTCACGGTTTCTTTTTCTAATATTTCCTTTTTATCTTCTGATTCTCTAATGCAGGGCTATATCACAGTTTGTACGATATTTGTTGGTTTGGATTCTTTAGCTCATCACCGGCCACCAAATGTCTTTCCATTAATGTGGGGACCTGCCATAGGTGGTTTTCAGAAAGCTTCAAAGAAGTGCAGCCCGGTAGTTCAGGATTCCTTCCAGAAAACGTCATTTCACTTTCTGTGCCTTCGTAATGATTCCTTCCTGATCCACTTGGATTTACAAAAATGATTGATTTTCCCTTATTAGAAATTCTATTTCCTTCCGAAGGCTATCAACCTGAGAACGCAAAGCATAATTTTGTAGGTTTTTAATGGTTGGAGTAGGATCAGAGCTTTGAAGTTGCCTTAAAACCTTGAAAGTACCAGATACAAGACCAAATACATCTGGAAATAGACCTTCTTTTTTAGCAATTGCTGAACCAGCAAGACCTGCACCAAGGAGAATGGTGATCTTCCCGAGTGATAGAGCCATGGTATGTGGCCAGTGAACCTCCGCGACTAGAGGAACACTCTGATGTATGAGATTTATGCGGCGAAAACGATATCGTTTTATGGTTCAGCGATGAGGGATTGTGGTGGTATTTGGATGTAATTGAATTTTGGTTTATGGACTTTGATGTAATATATTCATAAGCTGGATCGAAATTGTCACTTTTATGTAATTTTGAATGGTAGAAAGTGTAAATGTTCTTAGTTCTTGATTTTGTAATAGCCATGGTTGAATCAAGAAAAGAGACTTTGATTTAATTCACTTGCCTTTGAATTTATTCTCTTATGCTTACATCTTCTCAAAATGTATCTTGAATGAATCGCGATCCCTTCTTTAACCTTAAGTTCAAAATCTTCTTTTTGTATCTCAAACATAATCCAAGTTCTAAACAAATCCAATTGATGAATCACTTATATTATGAGAAAAACATAGAATTTTTCTAACTACAAAAAGTCAGTGCATTTTTTATGATTTTGACCAAACACAACTTCTAGCTCAAACATCCAAATGATCTCTCTCTTTGCACATTTTAAATATTGTGACCTTATCTTTCAAATACTTCAAGAATTATTCTCTAAGACCTCTTGAGTTGTGAACACCATGGATTAAAAGTTGGTACCTTGGAACTGGAGTTTCACTTGCAGTCAGATTGCAATTTTCCATAATGTTACTTCTAATCACCAAATTACCACGTGATTTTCACTTAAACATGATAAATACATGTGTGCATTAATTCATTTGAAATTCCATGATTCACCCATCCTCTTGATCCCATTCACTTCTCCTATAAATACATACTCTATTCCACTCATTTTCACAAGCTTGAACAACCAAAACCACCCTGTCAAACTCCCTCCATAAATCACTTATGATTTTTTGAAATCATCTTTTCTCCACTTTTCCATCCAATTTCTTCATTGATTCTTCATCCATGAACTTCATTGAAGCTATCAGAAGAAGAACCAAGCCTTGAGGTTCTCTAAATTGTGCTAGCCAAGTCCAATTGCAGAGAAAATTCATGTGACTTCGTTCAGGAAGTTTAAGGCACCAAATCTGCTAACTCAAATAATGGAATGGTCTATAATGTTCACTGATGCTTGCTATAAACTCAATTTTGGTGGATCAATTCATTTAATGCTTCTGATTTTTTATTTCAACATTTTCAATACTCTCTAGTTTTTTTCAAATCGACTATGTTGTGATTTATATAAATTTTTCACGAGCATATGGTTGTGATCGTCTCAAGTAGACGCATCTGATAGTACCACTATGAACGCGTAGATTTACAGATTGAATGATTTGAGTTTTTCCCTATTTGCAGAAGGCTAGAGGTTGAAGACGACCTACGTGTCGTTCTTCAACCAATGATGTTCAGCCATTCGTTTTATTTTGATTGGTTGGACTTTTTTGTGTTACATACGCGTGCATTGACTTGGATTCATGATTCTCCCTTACCTGAGGCCTGTTAGATCTGCCAGCGTGTATAAGTGAGCTAGATCTAACGCGTGTAGTTTTTTCTGATTTATTTTATTTTACAAAATTATTTTTAAAATATCTTTAGCTTTAAAAATTCATAACTCTCTTATTTTTTATCCAAAAATCATTAAAAAAAATATAAAAATACTTTGATTTATTTCTGACTTTGTCAATAATTTTTCATATTTTTATTTTGATGGTTGGTATTTTTCATAATTTTTGTTTTATTTTCCTTATTTTAATTGTTTTATAAATACTTTCTGGTCTTTTTAAATTCTTAAAAAATCATGGAAGGATCCAATGGCTTCTTGACAAATATTGGTGACCTCGTTTAATTTTTATTTCTGATTCTACTATTTTTTACAAATTTTGGTTTATTTTTCTTATTTTCTCCAAATTTTAAAAAATAGTTTCTGACTTTAAGAAATTCTGAAAATATTTGTCAACTATTATTGAATCATGCTTGACCTCTCACTATTTTTTTAAGGATTTTTATTTGGTATTTTAATATAATTTATATATTTTACCAATTAATTTCCTTTTTATTAACCATTTTAATTTTGGTTTATTAAATATTATTTTATTATTTTTTGTTTGGGTACTAGCTTGGATTTCATTTGGTGACAAATTCCTCAACCTCATTGGATCTTGGGTGTTAATAGGTTGAGAAACCAAATCCACCAAAATGGATGAATGATGCTGATGATATTTGAAACCCTAATTTCACATAATACATCCTCTCCCTCTTCATCTTATCCCTTTCTTACTTGTGCTACATGTTGTTAGAGAATAATCTACATATCATTTCTTTTTTACATACGGTACATAGATTTATATTGACCGGCCTCAAAACAGGTGCGACTTCTATATAAGTCCACTTATGATTACTTAACATAGCGTTAAATTTTGTCCCGATTCGAGAAATGATCATTCGTGGCCCAAACTATTTTGCAATCCCAAGTATGTTTAATTTTAAATCTTTGATCCAATAACCTTGAGGTTCATTGTTAGGAGGCTTTGGTCTTATCAATCCTCTAATGAATCATCATAAATTTTGGTCTAAGTGAATCATTTAAACATCGTTGATCATTTGTTGTTGCCTCGAGAATTTGAAATAAATGATATACATGACAAAAAGCAAATGAAACTTGTTGTCGAGAGGCTTTGATTTTATCAATCTTCTAATGAGTTTTCAAATGCAATATTCAATATGGTCATTCAACTAACCTATAATTTCTAACTCATTAAACATTGACCTTTATTTTATGCTTTTACTTTATGTCTTTACTTTAAGAACCATTTATCTTAGCATTTACATTTCATGTTGTTTTCATCTTTGCTCACTTGAGAATTTATCTTTATGTCATTTTTATTTTGCTCAGTTGAGCTTTTATTTTATTTTCGAAGATACTTAATAACCAACTTGAACAATAAAAAACTTTAAGGTTACTTGGACTATTTGGTTACTATCCTTGGCATGATGGAGTTATGGACTTAGGATTAGAGACCTTGACTACCCTTGAGACCTTGTAACTTCTATTATTATTTTGTCTGGAGTTCTTAGGATTTACCCCAAGACATTGGGTTGTTTTTCTTTTTGTGCAGGTTATTCTGATTATGAGCTTTGTCTGTGATTGGGAATTCATCTGTATAAAGTTGTTACTCTGCCCAATAATTGTTAAGACTTAACGCATTTGAAGATTTGTATTCTTATAAGTTTTATTATCTTTACTTATTTGGTTGCAATCCAAAGGATGGGAATTCTATATTGGCTCATTGTGTCAAGTGTTAGTTTCTTATTGGTTAGATGGTTATTTTCCCTAGTTTTTACCGTGTGCTTTAGGATAATCCCTTCATCTCCTACCATCTTCTTTAATTTCAAAAATCTTCTCCCTCTTTTTTAAAAGTATTCTTGTTTTCTAAACTTGAACCGCTTTCATAATAACTTGGACTTAGGTCCATGCCTTTTCAAAAATATTTTCTTAAACAAACTTTAATTAACTTAATCATACTTTGACATTTTTGTGAGAAGACTAAAAGTCAATCATTCTCATTCAAACCATTTTTCCACTTTGGCTTTTTACTTTAACATTTTCTCTAAAGATTAGACTATTGTTGATCCTTGTAGTGATGTGAGCTACTATACTTCTACGATATGTAGTGAAGTAAGATATTTCCCACTTGGGTGTTGAGCAAGGCTTTGTTGATTTTAAAATCCAAGCTATATCCTCCACTTTGAGATGATGCAAATTCTCCTTTCTCATAATCATTGGTAGTAAGTATATTTTCCATTCGGATACGATGATGATGTGTCGTCTCTTAAAATTAATTAATACACATGTGTTTTTAAAATTTTTAAAGGTGAACTATGAGTACCCTGATCCCGTATTTCACTGAAGGTGGTACATAGGCACTAAAGGTTCGCAACTGCGGCGGATGCAAAAATTATAAAAAAATTTACTTCTTTCCTCATCTCCACCATCTATTTTTTTGTATACAACAATAATAGCCAAAATACACAAATTTTCTAAGAGGTTCTGGTGGAGTACCGTAGACTTTTAGGGTGCTAATACCTTCCCTTTTCATAACCAACCCCCGTACCTAGATTCTCTCCCTTTTTTGGGTTATTCACTCTTTTCTCATTCCTCTGGAAACAATAAAGCGCGATGGCGATTTTTATTTGATCTGTGTGAGTTAAGTAAATCCAATGGCTTAGTGTTGCACCCCAAAATTTGCCCTCTCATTTCTCAAGGAAATCACCCTGGATCCTTAAGTTGGCTTTCATCAGGTCTCCAGGCCTTGAATTATAAATTTTTACAAGCAGGCCATTCACAAGGGCAAAATGGTCAGTTACACACTAAGAAATCTAACTTTGACTTTTTGGATCAAAATCAAATCTCAAAATTCATATTTCATCAAGACATGTTAGAATATGAAGTTTGCTTCATCAAGAGTTTCAAAAGTCAAATTTTACTTTGGAAGAATCAAATTCTAAAGGCTTAGAAATTTTTCTAAGTATTTAAGATATATGACAGTTTCAGAACTTCTGAGCCAGTACTCACACTCAATAAATCCTGGATATTCTCAAGACAGAGTTTGGTCAGAACTTCTGGGCCAATATTCATAAAGGATTCAGTCAGAGATTGCAAAGGTTAAATAAAAAAAGGTAGTAAAGCGTGTTGTAAGTATACTGGAAGTTCTGAAGGATCCCTCAGAACATGCTGAAGTCAGAAGATAAGAGCATCAGAAGATGAGATGCTACGCTAAAGCAGAACTTCTGATCCAGAGTCAAGCAAAGATGCAGAGTTTCACATGGGAATTCATTTAATGCTCACAATCGCCTCTGAGTATGTATCTATGGGATTTTCACCACGTGTACCCCTACTATCTTGGGAAGACAAACTTCTATGAAAAAGTATGCTAGACCCACGCGTTGTTTCTACTTTTCCTTAATTCACGTTGCCAAATCCAGCTGAGGCGCTGTTAACCACCCAACTTGAATGCAT